ATATCATGCTGGGTAAAGTGGAGGGTCAGAGAAAAAGGGGAAGACCCCTAATGAGATGGATTGGCCAGGTGGCATCATTGATGGACTCAAGTGTGGCACCGGTAGTTAGGTTGGCCCAGGATAGGACATTGTTTCGTTCTGCTGTGCATGGGGTCGCTATGAGTAGGTTCCGACTCAATGGCACCTGACAACAACAACAAAAGACAAGAGAATCAGGGGGCGCTGTAAGATTCAGTAAGTCCTAAGGCTGAAGGTAAGATAGGAGGGTCAGAGAAAAAGAGGAAGACTCCCGGCGAGATGGAGTGGCAAAATGGCAGCAGCAATGGGCTCAAGCGTGGCAACAATAGTGAGGTTGGCCCAAGATCGGGCAGTGTTTCCTTCTGCTGAGCATAAGGTCGCTATGAGTCGGTATCAACTCGATGGCTCCTAACAAGAAGACTGGAGGGGAGGGGTGTTCTGGACTTGCGCTGGGTGTCCGGCACTGGAGTATACACTGAGCGAGGGCTGCCCTGAAAAGCCAAATCTGAGAAGAGCCACCCCGGAATGGTGGTGCAGGGTTATAGTCACTGGGAAGAGAGTTTGTATACTCCGGGGTGCTGGGTGGCCGGGAAGAACGAGAAGCAAGAGAGGCCTGGCTCACGGTTTACACAAGACAGGTGTGAAGACTGTCGGAGATTCGGCCGCGATCGACAGAAACAGGAAGAGCCCAGCGAGAGCACTAAGACACGCAGGCCAGGGGAGCCGGGAGTTCCGAGCAGACCTGCCTTAAAAGGCGGCGCTAGGACCCGTCGGCAACAGCAAAGCGGAAGCGTCGCGGCGGCGGCTTCGGTAGCGGTAGTGGCGGCAGCGGCGGCGGCGACGGCGGCGCGCAGGTGAGTTGCCGCGCGGCACCCTACCCGGAACTGGGGGCGGGCAGCCGGCTCCCCGGTACGGGGTGCAAGGGGAAAGGCTCTAGGGCCGCACCAGGAAGTAGGACTCGTGGGAGGGGCGAGCGCGAGCCCGCGGGTGTCCTGAAGGCGCGCGGGCCTGCGCCCCGATAGACTGGGCCGAAGAGAGGGTACGCGGAGGAAGTGGGGGAGCAGGGTTCGGGGAGGACCCGGGTGGACTGCGGAAGCTGAGCGGACAGGGCCCGGAGGTGTGACCCCCGAACGGCGTCCGCGGCCTCTGGCCTGCTCAGGCCTTCGTAGGGTGAGGACCAAGGAGTGTCCAGAAACGGCTGGGTCTGCGGACCCTGCGTGGGGGTTCATTTCTGATTGCGCCCTTGGACTTGCAGCCTACTGGAAAGCGGCGTCCACTGCTGTTGTTCCAGGACTTTTTTCCCCAGAAGCCAGTTCCCCATTTAGTTGACCACAACTGCTTGAAGCGTGCTAATTGCCAATTGATTTCCGTAGAGGTTTATAAACCTGCGGTGTAGACCCTGTTAGAGTCCATAGTTTGTTTTGTTTTGTATCTGATGCTACAATAGAAATTTTCGAGCCACAAGTGTTTTTAAAAAAATAAAACGAAACTAACTTCTTAGTCTATTAATTTGAAAATCATTTAGTAATCTAATATATCCAAAGTGTGATCATTTTAGCGTGCTATCCCTATAAGAATACTTTACATTCTTCCCTCGTACTATGTCATGAGTCAATTCCAACTCATAGCACCCTTATGCAGGGTTTCTGAGACTAAATCTTTACTGAAGCAGACAGCCACGACTTTTCCATGCTAAGTGGCTGTTGGAGAGTTTTGGTGTGGTGCTGTGGGTTAGTGCTCTGGATTGCAAAGTCGTTTTAAACCTCCAGGTCGGCAGTTCAAGCTTACTAGCTCCGACTCAACAGCACTTAACAACAATGCTGAGGTTAGCAGTCTGATGCTAATACCACAGCGCCACCAGGGGTCATTTTACACTTTACAGAGTAGAACTGAGACTGTAAATCTTTACAGGAACAGACAGCCTTATCTTTTTCCCAAAGAGGGGCTGGTGGTTTTGAACCAGGGCTTCTGTTTACCCTTAACCAGTAAATCTCAATTCAGACTAGTCACCTGTCAACTGCTAGATAGCCAAATGTAGCTAGTCAGTGGCTCCAGATTGTGCAGTGCTCAGATCCAAACTCCTTGCCATGGTATTCAATGGTTTTCATAAGCTGGCCTCACTTCTACTTTTTCCTGCTGCTTTCTCAAGAGGGAGCCCTGGTAGCACAGTGGTTAAAGCACTCTAATGCTAACAGAAAGGTCAGCATTTCAAGCTTACCAGCTGATCCACAGGAGATAGACGCTGTAAAGATTTCGTTTTGGAAACCCTATGAGGCCATTCTATTCTGTTCAGTAGGGTTGCTGTGAGTCGAAATTGACTCAATGACTGTGGGGTTTTTTTTCGGTTTCCTCAGCGTGGTTATCTTCTCATCACTCAAGATCACCTGCCATTTACCCAGCACACCTGTTCAAGCTGTTCCTTCTGCTGAAACACTCTCTTTTATCCCACCCCACCTCACCCAACCCAACCCAACCCAGGTCTGACAAAGGAGCTCTGGTAGCATAGTGGTTACGAATTGGGCTGCAAACCTCAGGGTCAGCAGATTGAAACTACCAGCCGTTACGTGGGAGAAAGATGAGGCTTTCTGCTCCCGTAAAGATTTACAGCCTCGGAAACCCTGTACAGGGTCATTATGGAGTCGGAACTGACTCCATGGTACATTAACAACAACAACAACCCAGATCTGGCAGGGAGGCACAGCTTCTGCTAAGAAGCTTTTCCTGAAACACCCCAACCCCAACCCCAGAAATAATGTATCACTCTTTCCTCGGGGCTTGCTAGCACAGTCTTCAAGGCTGAAGTACATTTTTTTATCACCTGGTGTTTAATTGGTTTTGCAGCTGCCATCTTGGCTAGTATGGTGTCTTATTCATCTTTGTTGTGATCATGGTTGGCACCTAATAGATGATCAGTGGATATTTGCAGACAGAATGAGTAAATGGCTAACCAACTGCACTCGGTCTCTTAATTCCTGAAGGAACTTGGTGCTTCCTTGTTTTAATAGATTCATGTCTGCGCTTCTCCCCTTAGCCTCTAAGCAAACACACACACATATTCCAGATATGGTAGTCAGCGATGAAGAATGCATCTCACTCAAGGTGTGCACAGAAGTATCTTCTCTCCATTTCTCTTTTCCCAAGTTTATACATGGGGCTTCAAACATTTCGTAGAAAAATTGAGTTAAAAGATAATAGGGTTTTTCCATGACATTTTGAAAGCATTCCCCCACCCCCATAGATGGGAAAATTGAGGCACAGAACCAAATTAGGATAGCCAGCAAATTAGCATCAGTGTAAATACAAATGTTCACTGCTAGGAAGCTGAAGGTGTCTTTCCTGAAAGTCCCGGAGGAACTCACAGCTGGATAAAAAGTTGAAGAGTAAATTGAATCCTCTCAGATGAAAGAAAATGCTGGTTTCTGGGTAGGGTAGAAAAGAACACGTAGGATAAAAGAGAAGGGCTGAAGAGGCCTGCAGAGCAAAGGAGTAGTCCATTGGGAATAACCACTTCTTAGGGAGCAGTGCTACCTCTGTCTGCAAAATGGGAAAAGAGAAAAAAATTCAGACCTTCAGAGAAGGCGAGCTGCTCACCCAAGATCTCATAACCCCTTTAAGCTCGAACGAGGCATTCTAGGCTCTTACTGACATACTTTCCCAGCTCCACCCACAGTTCTGTTGCAACCAGGGGCCTCAATACAGTACCAAGGAGAGTAGACTGGGGCACAGTGCCAGGCCTGATTAATGTCTTCCTCACCATCTTCTAGCGAGGGGCTGTGATTAGGCCTATTTATAGGGGCCTGTGCCTTAATATTCTGCCTGACGCGTCTCTTGCCAATCAAATCAGTGCCGTCTGCAGTGTGATTGCTGCTTTAGTGGCACCAGGGAGCGGAGTTAATTAAACCCAGTATAAATAGACTCTGCCCTCACCTTGCAATTCCAAGAAGTGTTTTTTCCTTCCTGTTCCCTGTACCCCCCCATGTCCCTCCTTCCTTATGAACCCCCTTACCTGGTAGCCTGGGTGAGCAGAGCCTAGACACTCTTCTACCCAGAGTCATTAGCCACTGCTTAGCCTATCTCAAGTGTAGGCTTCAAGTTCCTCAGGGGTTAAAGTAAGAAGAACCCATGAGTCCATATTTTTTCTGTGCTTTTCCAGAAAAGCAGTTCAGAACAAGTTTTAGCCTTCTTTGTAATCTTAGGATTTCTTTCCTTTTCAACCAGGCTTGGGAGATTTAAATGAGGTAATGTGAGGTAATCTATGGAAGGATATCACGTTTGGTAAGGTGGAGGGTCAGAGAAAAAGAGGAAGATGCCCAGCGAGATAAATTGGCAAAGTGGTAGTAGCATCAATGGGCTCAAGCATGGTAACAATTGTGAGGTTGTCCCAGGACCGGGCAGTGTTTCGTTCTGTTGTACATATGGTTGCTATGAGTCGGTACCTACTCGATGGCACTTAACAACAACAACAGCAACAACATGGAAAGGGTGACTAGCAAGTACTAAGTACTTTCTAAGGGGTCAACAAAAGTGTCCCTCATCTCAACTCTCAGTCCCTGGGCCTGCCCTCTCCTCTCATTAATTCAACAGCAATAAGTGGATTCCATCTTTTGTGAGCTCCCGCCTCCCATCAGATGCTCTATTCCCCACTCGACCTGCAGAGACTGAACCTGTGGCAGACAGTTGGGATGAAAGGCAGGGAAGGGCTGTGCTCTCTTCTCTGGCCCATTCCCTGGAATAGGTGAGCAAGGGACCGTCCTCATGCTCTAGTTCTCATCCACAGACACCATGACTCCTGTGATGACCCAGCACTCCTTGGTGGGCCAGACCTATGCGGTACCCCTCATCCAACCGGACCTGCGCCGAGAGGAAGCCATCCAGCAGGTGGCAGATGCCCTGCAGTACCTACAGAAGGTCTCTGGAGACATCTTTAGCAGGTGGGTGCTGCCACTTGGCCCTATCTCTGTTCTAGGTGGTCCGTTTTCTGTAGTCCCAGTAACATGCACTTAGGTGACTCTTGGTCCTAGGGGGACCCAGCTGGTTTCTCTGAGCGCCAGCAACCCTGAGAACTCACTATTTACCGTCCCATATAACACTCTTCTCCCAACTCATGCTCTTCACTCACCCAAGGATGCCTATCCCTTCAGTTATTCCTTAGTCAACAAATATTTATGCAATACTTTTTCTGCACAGGGCACTATGCTACTCACGGTAGATAATGTCTGTATCTGTCCAACTCAACTACTGTATATACTTTGGCAGGAGACAGACTTTCAGCAACAATTGTATGATTGATGATGGAATTATTGTGAGAAGTCCTCTTTGTAATAATTTTTATTGTAGCTAATATTTACATAGCATCTGCCACGTGCCACCATTGATTTGAGTACTGCACATACTAACTCAGTCTTCACACAAACTTTGTGAGGAGGTACTAGTGTTATCTCCATTTTTACAGATGAGGAAATGGAGGCACAGAAAGACTAAGACTTGCTGCCATACTTATCTCGTGCTGCTGTCACAGAAATACCACAAGTGATGGCTCTAACCAACAGGACCAGGAAATTGTAGCTCCAGATGCTGTCTTAGATTGCTTCTCTGTGGAGGTGCTGTGAGAATTATAATGGGACAATGACAATTATGATAAACTCTAAGGGGTGAGAAGAAGTTATTGTGGATGTATAGCTCGGGAAGAAAGAAGGTCATAAACTCAGGTTCTAGGTGGGAGAGACCTGAAAGGAAGCCAATGTGTCTGGAGCAAGGAAAGTGATGGGGAGTGTGTTCAGAAGGCAGGTGAGATGGGCAGGGCCTTAGAGGTCGTTTTTTTGTATCTTGACACTTACTGAACACAGCCATTGGCTACAGTGATTTCTCATTTGTTTAGATTTAACATGAATGAATGGCGCTTACTGTTCCTTGCAAAAGTACCAAATCAGTGTCCTGAATATGGGTCCTACCTTTCTTTGACCGTAAGCATCCTGAGATTGAGTTTGGGTTTTCTCCATCATGGACACTCCCTCTCCCCCGCCCCACTGTGCCTCACACAGGGGACATTTGATCCCACGCAGGATGGAATATTTGACTGCCTGACTCAGGTTCTCTGATAGTCCAGGTTACCCACCACCCTTCCCCTGGTTACATTCCAGACCTGGAATTCCCTACCCTTTCACCACATAATCTCCTTTTCCTTCCCTAGTTGGAAGTCTATGTCGTCCTAGAGGCCTTTCCAAACAATGATGGGAGAAACTGTAGTTATTGTCTCCAACAGGACTTGGTGCAAAAAACCAGACCCCCTTGGCTCTTCTTCCTCTTACCTGACCACTGAAGTACCCACCTGCCCACACTCATTCAGAATGGACATGTAACCAAGGGGCCATGCACTGCAATAGTTAAGGGTGTTGTCTCTGAAGCAGATTGCCTGGATTGCTCTCCATTTGTTCTGCAACCTTGGGCGAGTTCCTTAGCCTCTAAGCCTCACTGCTCTCATCTGTATCATTGTAATGATGTGCTTTCCTCATGGGATCATTGTAAGGGTTAAACAGATTAAAACATGGAAGGCAATTAAAACATGTACAATGCTAGGCACATAGTAATATGCATTGTTGTTGTTAGGTGCCATCAAGTCGGTACTGACTCATAGAGACCTTATGCA